TTTTACAAAATGTTGTAAGTTGAAGTTTGTCACTCTAAACAAACATACCTTCTGCATCTTTCTCTACAAATTGTAGTTCTGATTCTAGGTTCATAACATCAGGAAACTTAGACTGGACAGTATCCGCAATGTAGTGTAATAACGAAATCTTACGATTTGTAGACTTGATGTCTCCTAGCTGTTAATGAATGAAATAGTCACAAATTCAAATGAAGGTAAAATAAAAAGTCAACTTAACTAACGTATCACGTAACATTATAATATATGTGTGTTTTGTAGATTTAATGTACAATTATATATATTATTAATATGTTTGATGAAGTCATATTACAATAGTCAGTTACTTCTGTACTGAGTGTAATGTTACTATAAGCTAATGTATACAACTATTCATATTTAAATTTCTCAAATACTCATGCTTACCAAGTCCAAGATCTGTAGTTTAAAGCCATATGTTGGTCGTCGTTTATCTCCATTCATGTAGTTACCAAAAGCTAAGATGATCTGTGAAGACAAATCACACAAGTATGTAACTTATATCACAGATGTTATGTTTTACCACCGTGGTATTACAAGGATGAACCTAGCACACAGTTACCAAATTCTCGCAATAACTGGATATTTGTGGACCTAGCAAGCAGAAGGACAGGTCTGGTGACTTTTTATACAAAGAATGAAAGAAACAAGACTCCATTTAAAGTTCACACAAAAAAATAAATATATTATGTTTATAAACATATTATCTATAGGAGAAAACAGAAGATTTGTTTGTTTGCTATTAAATTTCGAACAAAGTTATATGAGGGCTAGCTGTCCCTAATTTAGCAGTGAAAGATGAGAGGAAAAGGCAGCTAGTCATCACTACCCACCGCCAACTCATATGCTACTCTTTTTCCAATGAAGAGTGTGATTGACAGTCACATTATAATGCTCCCATGGCTGAAAGGGCAAGCATGTTTAGTGGGACTAGAATTCGAACCCACGACCCTCAAATTATGAGTCAAGCGCCCTAACCACCTGGCCATACTGGGCCAACAACAAAAGAATGGGTGATCTTGTTGCTATGGGGGACTATTGCATTCATGACTATAATGTTGAAAATGAAATAAATAGATTGTCTGTGTTTAAGTAAAAAAAAATGAAAATAAGCTGTACTTATAGACAAAGCATAGATGAGACTTCCATGGTGTGTCTTGGCTCTCTTTTTCTTTCAAGCCAGAAATTAATCTGTCTGAAAACTGTCAAAATTGTATTTACAGTTTATCTTCTCTCTCTGTAGATGACCAATCAGAAAATTGGAATAAAGAATCAGGAAGTCTCCCTGATCCATATAATAGTCATAGAACAGTTCCAAATAGACAAGGTAAATTAGGACATAATACAACTATCCCACAAAACAGAAGTTTCTGTGATACGACCCTGCTAAAGTACCAAAGTACCACCTGCGACTGAATTTAGTACATAACCTCAAACAGTATGCTCTGAATTATAATAACATAAAATCCAGAAAATTTTGTTAAAGTAAAGTATTATGAGATATGTGGTGTTTTTCATACCACATCGTTATATACAAAACTTAAACTATTGACTTTCTGTTTTAATAAACAAATAATTTTGAGGCTCACCTCTAGCAGTTTTTATATATTTTTACAATTTATAGTTGACCTCGAAGCTGTGATAATGGAGTGAACTTGCTGTAAAGAAAGATGTATGAAATTATGACATGTTTACCAGTATTTTACTTACTAGCAAACAAAAAGGAATTATTTGAAGAATATCACATACGACTGTTAGAAAGTTTTTTATCGTTCTGAGTCTAAATTGTTTTTCAAGCATTTTATTAAATTTTACATTTCTTTAGTATTCAATTATTATAAACAATTTTTCTGCTTACAACTTAAAGTAGTATGGAAACAAAAATAAAATATGTTACAAATCACAAATACAAAATATATATTAAAGTCTTTTTAACAGATAAATTTATTATTCAACATTCTGCTCTAGTGAAGTTTACAAAACTGATTTTTTTTGCAGACTTTTTTAAAAATTCATACGCGGGTTCAATGATAAAACTGAAATGAAATGCCATAACTGCTATTAAATAGTATAATCTGTAATAATACATTAAACATAATTAAATTTTTGTGATCTTAGAAAAGATCCTAATTTCTACTCAGTTTAACATTTATTCTTGACGCTACTCTGTTTTTGTTGGTTTTTTTTCATGCAAAAGGTACATAAAAGGAACTCTGTCCACCCTGGGGAATTGAACCTAGAATTTTAGTATGGCTAACCATCTGGCTAAATAAGTATAAATACTATCTTGTCAGGCCACTATTATATATACTTATTATAACAGATGATTTTGTTTTAGTCAATAAATCATTTACTGAAAAAAAAATACAATGCCTTTCATATATTGTAACTAAATAAACCAACCCTTTTGAAATGAAGGTTTTTGAGGCATCTTTAACAGATAGACTAAAATCAGCAAAAAAAAAATCAATTGAGTATTCAGTTTTCATGAAAGGTAACCTGATTTCACTCACCAGTGTAAGAAGTTGAATATTTTCATCAAAGCTTCCAATGTAGCTCATGATGTTAAGTTTTTGGGTTAATCTTTTAACTCTGGTAAGCTGAAAAATAACCAAGATGTATCATTATGTTCAATTTTGTGACTTCAAAAACTGACTAAAACTTAATCTTGAAATCCCCACAAAAAACATTACATAAAAGCATGAATAAACACATATTTTTGTCCAAGACAGCTGAAATATCATAAACTTGTCAAAGTATAATTTAACTGCAGATTTGTATAGAAATATTAAATGTAACAAAAGAATTGCTTTGGAAGACTTAATACTAAGGCTAAAGAATTATGACATATTCATGTGTTTGTTTGTTGTTAAGCACAAAGCTATATGGTGGGTTATCTATGGTATGTCCACTAGGAATATCAAAATCCAGTTTTTATCACTATAAGCCCTCATACTTATCACTGAACCATGGGGACACACTACACTGAAAGATTAAGGTAGTATTCAGAAATTATATATGTGCAAAACTATAACATATTGTTACGACAGAGGAAGTCACGTGACGCTGGTGAGATGTAAGGAGTTCTAGAAAGATTGGGGAACATCACGAATAATCCAGTATTTGCTAGGCGCCCTCTATTCTTGTATATAAGTGCGCCAGACAATTAATCGGAATTGAATAGCGGACAGAGAGACTGAAGATATAGACGGACAATTGACTCAAGTGCGGTAGTAAGTAAAGTGCGTGAATCGTTAGTTGAGAATTATAGCATGTGTTTAAGTGACTGTGGAAATTAAGTGTATTGCAGAGTTGTATTGAGAAAGAATAAACTAGTTTTATTTAAGAAAGGACTTGCATCGCTGAAGTTTCTCGGGAATAATTTCTACCAGAAATTATCAAACGAGCAAAGACATAACAATATATTTCATATAATAAACACATTTTTTTTTCTAATGTCTGTAAAAAGACAACAACACCAATATAGTTGTTAAATATCATTTGGCAAATTACCATAATTTCTTGACCTACTAGATACATAATCTAAAAGTCTGACATCACTTTCTGTCAACCACTGAAACAAACAGAAAATACTTCCATCACCACCCTACTGATGTCTTCAGGTAACCAGTTATCAGTATATTCATAAACAGGCTTAAAGGATGGAAGGTAATGAGCGACATCTTGAACATAAACAATTTTTGGGATTTCAACTGTGAAAAGATAAAATAACTTATGATTTTTTACAAGTTCTGAATGATTTGTCCGTTTAATTTTGTGCAAAACTGTTCGAGATCTATCTGTGCTAGCCATCCCTAATTTAGGAATTATACATGAATGGAGAAGGTAGCTAGTTAATTACATCCATCACTAACGTTTGGGCTATTCTTTATCAATGAAAAGTGTAATTGATCATCACATTATAACACCTCCATGGTTGAAGGGTTAAGCATGTTTGGTGATGGGATTCAAACCTGAAACTCACAGATTGTGAGTCAAGCAGCTTAACCTGTTTAAAAAGTACAATAAAAATATCTATGCTTCTACGACAAAGTACTACTGTTACTTATGGTCTGTCATCCAAGGATTTGGTTAACAGAGGTTCAGTGATATAAAATTCTGTTGATAAAACTCCTTACTTCCTTGTCATTTGGAACCATCCATAGCAGTATCTCGACATACTCCTGGTTCAGTGCTTTTAAATTAACAGCACTGATTGCTTGAACCACCTCCTCACTCGATAACTTTAACTTTTGACGGGAGATGGCCATATTTCGTAAACGTTTGTGCTCTAGCATGGTTATTTTCTCTGAAACCTGCACAGACAAACTTTTTTCAAATAAGAAATAAAGCCAAAAAAAAATAACAATTTCTTAGTAATTTGATAAATTCCTTAAAAAAATTATTTTATGCCCACTTAAAGGTTACTGATGTTTTTACTTTATGAGAACACTTGTTACAATAGTGAATAAGCTTATATGTTCTACGTATACCAGACGAAAGTTGTACTAGTTTTAGTCACACTAAAAGAAAATAGTAGATGTTTCAAGTTAAATTATAAAGACATAGGTTTTGTCTCCAACTCATCACATATAAAATTTGGAATTACTATGTTAAATGGATCATATATTGGGTAGATCAAAGGAAAAACTTCTCCAATTTGATTAACCAGCCCAATTGAGCCACCTCTTTGAGCAGGTGAAGAGTATGACATGTAAACTCCTGTTCAGAATGAGCTAATAGTACCCAGTTGTCCATATAATAATGAAAACACATCCCGAAAATGTGAAGATGACAAGCAAAAGCTTGAACCTCCTGACTAAAAACATATGTGGCTGAAGCAAACCCGAGGGGAAGTGCACGAAACTGTTCAATCACCCCCATGATGGACATACTGAAGATACAGTCGTAACTGCCGAGCAATTGGTATAGGTAAGTAAGCATTTGTGAAATCCATATTGGTCATCCATAAACGTCAAGAAAAAGCTCACCTGAGGGTTAGAAATGATTCCAAGGTAAAATGAGGAGGATGGAGAAATAGATTGAGGTGGGACAAGTCTATCACAGGCTGCCATCTCCGGATTTCTTGGGGACAACAAACAACCTGGAATAAAAACCAGGAGAAAGATGACTCACAGGTTTGATGGTCTGGTGATATAGAAGGTCTTGAACTGCCTCTGAAAGATGCTGGCTGGTAATGGGATTCTGAGACAGAGGGAAGGAAATGAGTATCTGTGACAAAGGAGGAGGCGAAAGGAATTGTAGGACAAGTCCACCTGAGAGAACCCGAATAACCCATTGATCTATGATGAAATATTGATAAAGGGAAACAAAGTCGCACAATTGAGCCAGCACCGGACCTGAGCCCACCTGGGAGGCACTGGTACTGTTGGCATCATGCTGATCTACATAGAAGAAAATGATAAGATACAAAACCCCTGGAAGAAAGAACAGGTAAAGACTGAGAAGGATAAGGATGGGAAACAGGAATAGGGACTTGTCATGATTCTGACTGCTACAAATGAGCTACCAAAGAGGAAAGGGTAGAGTGTTGATGCAGGGATTCCACATGCGATTCCAAAGTGTCTGGGATATTTTCAAAAACATATCGCCTAAGAAAAGGAGCTACACATAATTCTCTAAAAAAGTTGGCAGCAAACTAACCTATGACAAGGCTGCATTTTGACCCAGTAGATCCCAACAACAAAGAAACCACACGTGTAAGGTGAAAGCCAAGGATGACAAACGAGCCAATGTGAAAGTAAGAAGGGAGAGGCTGTACCTCTAAAAAACCTCAGGATTTTAGTGCAGAGTGCCTGAAAGGAGGTGTATGGTAGATAAATACCATAGAATGGAAGTAAGAGTAAGACGAAGGCATAATACTGGACAAGGATTAAATGCACTCGAAAATCAGGGAGTGCTCCCCAAACTGGCCAAACAGACCCCAATAAATGAGCGCCTAAAAATGAACAGTCTGCTTGATAGTATGCCAAAGTAAACTGATCCGCAGCCTATGGGAGGAAAGGCATGCTGGCACCCTCATTCAATTGGGAAGCAAAATGTTCATCATGAAACCCAATATCCAGGAAAAACTAAATAAGGAGAAAAAGAACTATCGTGCAACAATGGAGGATGAGGATCACAGAAATTCTGGAATTGGGATACTCACACGTCCTTGAATTTCCTACCTTAGTACCACACATCTGTACATCATTGAGCAAAAGCACAACTAGAGGATATTGAAAAAGTACTAAAAAAGGTCAAACTGTAAATTTCACTTTTAGTGGATAATTGACACTTTTTGAGAACCCACCATAAATTTAATTATGCACTCAAAGAGTTAACAAAGCTTATATTCCAATATGTCACAACTCAGAGCAGATGTACAACTGGAAAATATTAAAAATACTGTGAAATCATAACAACCTCACAATCCAAGTAATGCAAAAAATATCTTAACTCCAATCTAAGATAAACAAATTTATGTGTCTTTCTTGCAATTAAAAGATTTTGACAGAAATTTTGTTAAAATTTGCAGATAATGACTATTTTATTAAAAAATACTGCATTAAGTCCTTCAAAATAACCTGCAATCATTTATAATTTGTTCAAGGCCAATGTTTAAACTATATTGTAAAAATCATAATAGAAATTACATATAAAAACATTAAATTTTTTGTTCATAAATACACTGGAGAAGAAATAGGAATAATAACATACAAAATACACAACCATACATTATTGAAAGTTGAAAAACAAAATAAACTTTTTAGACAAAAATAAACCCTTGCCATGATCATAAGACTCACCTTGTACAACTTATCTACATCCAGTTCATTAAACACAGTCCTCTTTACTTGGTTTGGCTTAAGTGCTGTCCAATTAAGAGTAGGTAGCTTGAACGTTGTCTGGTATATTTTCTTGATTGTCATGGCTGCAAGTAAAAAGAAAGAAACAAAAACAAAAATGTGTTTTTTAAACACTTAAATACAGAAAATGTTCCCCCAGTTCCTTATTGTTTCCTATCTTTGTATGTGGGTTCTTAATTACTGGACAATATTTGGAATTCATTTAGCTTTTCAAAAAATATGCATAATCACATAATCCTAGTTCAGTATTGATCTATGGTATGATTTTCTTATTGTGTCATAAATTTCTCTACAATTTTATGAAATATTCATGCATAGGTTTTCACCCAAGTATTGTATAATTCACCTCACACTGATAACTTCGTTCATATTAGTTAATAACTACTCTTTCTATAAATACAGTGTTAAGTTTAATCTTTTTCTAATAAAATTTGAATAAAAAATTTCAAGTTCCCACATTGTAAAACATTTTAACAAACACCTTTCCCTCAAAAAGGAATCAAGTATAGTATTTACACTGAATTTTCTTTATAAGCACTAGTTTCTTTTCTGTGAGCATCTTTGTAATTTAATAATATTTAGATTTTTATATAATTTCATGTTTACAAGTTATTTTAATTCAACTTGTAAAAATTCAAAAGTTGTACCTTAATTCTGAATTCAAATCTATCATCTTTGTAAACCTACAGCTGAATACCACAAATGAAAGTTTTTTTGTTGCACAACATTTTATAATTCACATTTTTTTACATTAAAATATATAGGTTAAATCGTTATACTTAATTTTCATTCTCAAAATTTATTTTACCATCTGTAGGAGATTCCATCTATCCCAGAGGTGGTGGTATTCCAGTTGACCGACCACTGTTACTTATAGGTAGTGGTGGTGGTATAGGAGTAGCTATTGTTTCTCCATCCATTAAACATAATGTTCCTAATATAATGAAATAAAAAAATATTTAAATCACATTAATATTGTAAGAGTTGCATCTAATTTTTATTATGCTTATATAATTCAAGGATCACTTCTCTGATGTGTAATGTATCAACACATTCTTAGGAGCACTATGATGTAAACACAATTACACTATCCATTCTTGTTATATTTAAATGTATTTGTATTCTACATCTGTTTACATTTTCTGAAAAAGTTCTTGCGATGAAAAAATCTTACCTTTAAGTAAAGTCTTTTGATAATTTTCAAGTTCCTCTATCTATTATTCCAACATGCTTTGTCTCTGATGAGATTCTAGATACTTCTGTAAAACTGTTTGTCACAAGGTATTAAGTATCTCATCTGCTTGTTGGTGTAATTCCTGAAAATTATCAAAGAATTTTCATACATTTTTTTGACAAATATCTCACACCCTTTTTATAATGAGTTGTATTAATTTCAAAGCTTAATACTTTTATAATTTGGAGATTATGGTAAAAATATACATTGACTTATAAATATTTATGATATTTCTAATTACCTTTCTGAGTCATAAGTTTGACCAGTGAAGTAGTTATTTAAATTTTTTTTAAATTCTTAGTAACTGGTAGTTCAAATAAAGTTTGTTTGTTTCTTTCTTTAATTTTGTGGAAAGCTAATCTAGGACTATTTGCGCTAGCTGTCCCTAATTTTGAAGTGATATACTAGATGGACGGTAAGTAGTCAACATCACCCACCACCAATTCTTGGACTACTCTTTACCAACAAATAGTGGGATTGACTATCACATTATAACACCTCCATGGCTAAATGGGTGAGCATGTTCAGTGATGGGAATTGAACACATAA